GGGGGTTGTTGCTTGTGGTGAAAATGCTGGATTCTTAGGGAGCATTTATAGGAGAACATGTTAAGAATAAACTAATAGTAATAATAATTCACGTGAGCAAGATATTTCTTTTGCATTATTTAGGGCAAATAGAAGGTTAATACGGATGGCAGCTTTGTTCCGATAAGGGGGATGGCTAGTGTTGGGGGTGTTGTTCGAGATCATTGTGGGGCTTGTATTAGTGGCTTTATGATGAATATCGGTTATTGCTCCATCATGGGGGCCGAACTCTGAGATTTGTTCCAGGGTCTGCAGCTAGTTTGGGATATATGTGCTCGCAAAATTGTGGCTGAAGTTGATAACCATAGTATTATTGAGCTGGCTAATCGTGAGGATACTAACGGGCTGTATGTGAGTCTTATTCGGGGTAGTAAAGAGTTGATGGGCCGCCCATGGGATCTAGAGATTGTTCATGGCCACCACAAGACAAACGTTGTGGCGGATTTTTTGGCTTCGCTAGCGGCCAAAGGAGCGGATGGCCGGCACCAGTTTATCGTCCTCTGTTGGGGGCGGGTACATGGTTACAACATGATCTTATTGGAGTGGCTCACCCACGCCGGATCGTGATCGAGCGTTAGCGTTAGCTTCGCTTTCCCTTTTTTGTACCAAAAAAAAAAAGTGCGTGTTAAGATCAAAGTTCTAAAAATTGGTATCCGGGCTTCTCATCTATTGGTCTGACAGATTGGTCTAGTCGAATTGTCATCAAAAACATGATTGAGGGTGTGTTTGGTAAGAGCATATTTGATAAGAAGTTTTTCAAGGTTTGTAAACCTCATATTTTAAAAGTTTACCACTAAAGAAATCCCCCTATATATTAATTGAAAACGTGCTGAGACTAAGTGGCATGCTCGCATGCTTCGTTGTCATATGTGACAAAATTATATGCTTCATTATTAGGCGTTATTAGGCTTGAGTAAATTTTAATTTATTTCCAATCTATACATAATTCGGTCTGAATTATACATAGATATAAGATTATTAATGGACATGTTACATGTATTAATTGTAGTTTAATATCATTCTATTATAACCATTGAATTGTAGAATATTTTAAATGTTAATAACTTTTATATTTTTATCAGTTTTACATATATAATATATTTCAAGTAGTTATATGATATAAGTTATAAAAATTACTATAATAAATTTATTTTTTTGATATTAATAAGAAAAATAAAATTATTTATCAATTAATATATTTAAATTTCTAGTAATTACATGATATAAGTTATAAAATTACTATAATATAACATATGTAAGTCGCACAAATAACAAGTGCCATTCTAAAATATATAATAATTTATATTTTTGTAAAAAAGTAATTAAATTTAAAATCACTTTTCTCATTAACTTTATAATTTAAGAATAATTTTTTAATAAGCACCCATGTAATACAAGGGTGTTGTACTAGTGGGGTTTAAAGGTTAAAGCTCATGGAGAATAGCGTGAGGTGAGTCCTTCATGTGTCACCTATATTTTTCTTTTTTTTTTTCCTCTCTCTATGTTGCTTTTGTTTTTTTTAATTGAATTGATTTATAAAATAAAGTAAGTGGAAATATGTGTAGCCCACTAGAAACAAAGAAGGTTCGTGAGGGTTTTGAGAAATTACTTTCTACACCATAAATTTCAGTTTTTGTTACAAAATTAAACATCTATTATAAATATTAGCAATTCTACCTAAAATCATGTTTTATTTGTAGATATACCAGAAATAATGCAAGCATTAAAAGAAACCTATCAGTTTCTCTCCCCCAAATCACGCCTATTTCTCCTTATCTCTCTTCTTCGTTTCTCTCTTCCCCTCCCTCTCTTATTTTTCTTTATCTCACCACCTCATCTCTCTCTCTCTCTCTCTCTCTCTCTCTCTCTCTCTCTCTCTCTCTCTCTATTTCTCTCTCTCTCTATCAACGACCCATTATCCTCTCCCCCTCATTCTCTCTAGTTTTTTTTTTTTCACTTGTGATCTGCGCAATTATTGAAATTTGACTGATTTTTGTAGCCCCAACGATGTACAACGGAATAGGGTTGCAGACCCATCAGGGCTCCGGCACCAGTGGCCACGTTCAGGCGATCGCATTCACCGTGAAGGCGATGGCGAATAGAGTCGTCGCCGGTCCGAGCAAGGATTTCAAATTGGGAAAAGGGGCTGCGGGCGTGACCCGAGGGCCCAACAGGGAGATACAGGAGGACGAACGCAAGAAGCAGATATATCAAAATTTTTATTACGTTATGTATATGTTACGTATATAACTCGATTATGTTATGTATATGTGCATGAATGATATACTTATAGTTGTTTTCAAGACTATGTATATGCGAGGTTTACATATTGAATATATGACACGAATATATTATGTATATGTGCATGAATAATATACTTCAATATCCCGAGTTTATAACTTCATTATATATTGTATATAATGAGTATATATTCTGTATATCTTCCGTATGTAATTTTCATCGTGTATTTTGTATGTATTAAACTAGAAAATATACTATAAGTCTATAAGTATACAGAAAAAAAAAACGAGATATAAATAACACAAAATTGAACAATATTCCTAGATATTAGGATATATTCACTTACCATATATTTTGATTTTTTTTCTAGCAAAAAAGGCAAGCAATAAATACTCCCGCAATTTAAGGATAGTTGATCACTTTTATTTTTGGTAACTGCATCTTAGCATATTGATAATTATTTCCACACGTTTCTGTAGGGATGCAATACAAAATTTGACCATGGTATTTTTACAAATATATTAATTTCGTTAAATATAGATAAAATTTCGCCTTATGAAGTGGAGGTTTGTGATATTAGAAGTAACAATGAGGTTTGGATGATGTAGATTATTGAGAATATAAAAAGAAAGTATAAACCTTATCTTGTTAACTTACTCTAAGCACCATAAATTAGTTTTAGTTTATTTGGTTAGCTTATTAGCTTTCTATATACTAATAAGTTGGTCTGGTATGACAGGATTGTTTAGAAAGCTTGAACTTATCTCCTAAGTTTTTCGGTATAGCTTTGAAAATAAGCCCGTTTAAATTTTTATTTCAGTTGACTCGTAAGCTAATATTACCAAATACCTTTATTATGTAAGCTAGCTTTTCAGCTGTAGTGCCCCGTTTCATTTTCAAGAGCTTAGTTCATTTTCATGCATTTTAATTTTATTT